GCCAGGCGCCGTGCGGCCGGCCCGGTTCCCTCCTCGCTCCGCCGCCCCGCAGCTGCCCACAGAACTGCTTTGCGCGAGTGGAGCGGAGCAGCTTTATTTTATACTCAAAATACTTAGTACAAACAAGCGGGTAAGACAAACGCTCACACAAATAGGCCCGCGCTTAACTTCACAAGGGAAAACTCAACACAAGGCAGACAGAGAACTGTTCAAACGTGAACTGCACAAGCAACAGGACAAGGCAAGGGACATGTGTCGTCTTGCCTCCCGTGTCCTGAACTGTAACCAAAAGCCCAAGATTTCCCCAGCATGGAGACAGGCAGACTCATGTATGGCAGGTGGGATTGCCATCTTAACCAGGTATTTATAGATACAGTTTTGCAAGAGGATGACATGGGAAGTTTCTCTTCTGAGCACTACGAAAGCTAGGACTTGTTGAGGGCCCCAAAGCTGACACAGCCAGCCCAGTCGCAGGACCCCGCCACAGGGCCAGAGACAGAAATAGGCTCAAAACATCAGCTGAGATAGCGTTTAACGCCACAGTTTTGTTTCCACAGCCAGTTCTCCGTGAGGACAGAGGGCAAATGTGTTCCCGTACAGCACCTGGGAATCAGATCTCCCACTTACACCCCAAAGAGAACATGGGGAAAAGAGATGGTGCTAAACAGCACACTGTCAGCCTGCAGGAGAGAGCAACTTTCACAGCTGGTGCTGCTCTTCCCCCCACGCCCAGAGAGCTCCCAAAAGCCAGGACAAATGAATTCAAGAAATAGCCTTGGCCCACATTTAACTCAGTACAAGGCAACACCAGTCTGGGAACAGAAATGCTCAGAAATGTAAATACTCCAGAGGCTGAGAGGGCAAGGAATAGGCTAACAGCTAGCTGCCTGACAGACACTGCTACGCTCTCTCTGCATGCCATGCTGGGGGTAGCTTGGGATGGCATACTAACCAATTTGTTGCCACAAACACCTGTCATCAGACTTCGAAAACAAAACAGATTTGGTCTTAAATTTTAATACAAAGGAATTATGAAAGCATCCTCACAAAACTAGGGCTCACAACCCCAGTGTGAACCAGGAGCAACCGAATGGAGAGAAGTGTTTCAGCAGTTTTTTACCCTTATTATATAACTGACTTCTTAGCTTGTGAGACAAGAGTGAGATGACAAGCAGAAAGTTTCACCCTTAGTCCCAAAGCGTTGTCTCAAGCAAGCACTCAGTACTGTAGAGTCATCATCACTAACACTAAAAAAATGGTGACAAAGAATGAGCCACGTCCCAGGTTGATTTACTAATTCAATTATTTAACAGGGGAGTGGGGAGCTCCCAGAGAATGGGCTAGGACAAAGCCTGAGCAGCCACTGCCTCGCGGCAGCAGGGAAAGCTCTCAGATCCAGACAGCTGTACGATCCCACTGCAGTTTTAAGACCAGAACAGCCTTCCCCCTAACAAGCAGCAGGCAGAGAGCCGCGCAGAGGTGTGTGTCTGCTGGCCAGCAGCAGGGTCCCCTGCACAGAGGCTCTCTGCAGCTCAGGCAGGGATTACATACATTCAAGGCTCTGCAGGATTGTTTGAAATGGCTTTAAGGGCTGCTACAAGGAACAGAACAACTCCTCACCCTGCCAGCAGATGCATTAGGCACAAAGCAGTTTGTGGAGAGGAAGTTTCTCTAGCACATTAAGGCACTTCAGCATCTACCTACCTCCTCTGCAGTCGGAATCACACCCACATTCACAGTGTTATCTCAGGGGGGTGAAAGGTTTAAGGCTTCTAGGGCAACAGTGCTCAGGAAGAGCATTTTCAGCGTCTTTTAGTGTCACTTTATTCCCCAAATTCTGTCGGCTACTGAAAGACTCCCATTGCATTTACCTGAGCAAAGCAGGTCCTGTTCCACAAAAGGCTACACAAGCATCCAAGCCAGACCTGTGCACATACACACTTGACAAGCCTGGAGCACCTTGATATAATTAGCAGTAGTGTGAAATCCACAAATAACCCCTGAACACTTCTGATAATACTCTTGCCTTACTAGTCGCACAGGATCTGCGCAGAGAATTTATCAGAAAGACCAGGGCATACATTTGCTCTTAGTGTTGGTTTAAACTGTCACATTTGCATGTTCAGGGTATGACATGCCTGGAAGGCAATTCAGAATTCATCTCCCAGAGTCAGAGACCACACCAGCTCCAGCAAATACAGCACAAACACATTCCACAAGATCAAAGCTATTGCAAAGCCCAGCACCAAAGCCTTGAATGATTCCAGTTAGCCAGTCAGCAGCTAAACACTTCTGGTAACAAAACCCCTGATTTCTCATGGGTAAGCCACACATCTTGTACCCAAGCAATGGGATGGTAAAGTGCCGAATAAGTTTTCATTTGCAGGAGCTCTAGTCTCCTGAGAGTTTCAGGTCTTCATTTCCTGTCTTACTTGGGGAGAGCATGTTCTTTACTGGGTGATGCAATTGTCTCCCATGTCCTGGGCATATCTGTCAGATATTGCCGTCCTTAAGTCCTCCACCTCTCTGTGAAGCTGTTTTACCTCCGTCAGTTTTTTCGCAAGTACATCAGGGCTCAGCAAGTCGTCCGTCTCCTTAGCAGAGTACTGCACAGCTGTGGAGTCAGAGACGGGAGTTACCTCAGACGTGCAATTTTGAGCAAGGGTCCCACACATTTGCAAATGACCCAGAAAAAAATCAAAGCACATTTGCAGCAGAGATACTACTTAACATTCAGTTACTACAGCAAGGAAGCATGAATTTTTAGAGCCTGCTAACCACAAAGGAAGGTTCAGAATCCTAGAAAGACAAGAACCTTATATCTATATAATATAGAAGTTATTTAATTCTACCACACAGCACGAACCAAAGAGTTTGCTAAGCCTTCACTCTGCATACTTACAGCGAATGCCCAGGAGCAGGGAGAGATTGGGATCCTTGCCCTGAGCCCTCTGAGTCACAATGCTGTAGACAGACTGCAAATCCTGCAGACAACTGGCCAACTCGCTGTGTAACTCCTGGGCAAGGTGGGCTGCCTCACCAGGGAGTGGCTGGGTTAGCTCTGCCTGTCGGAGTCGCTCCTGAAGGGTCAGGTTCTTCTCAATGAGATCCTGGTTCTGCACTGAAAGCTAAACAAATGGCCACAGCGGATTAGCGGTCACTCGATACAGAACTATCAGGCTTAAAGCAACTTAAAGCGAATACTCGATGATGATGGGAGCAAAGACAGGAGGAACAGGCTCCTCCTGTCTTAATGTGCTAGAGAACAGGTTTACGTCAGGCTCTCCAGACAGATGAACAGCACACAAGTGTCAGTCTTACAGAACGCGAGCAGTCAGCTTTCCTGGCTCACACAGGAAACACCCATTACACTACACTGGCCCTGTCAAGGCCTGATGCAACAGAGAAGCTTCCAGACTGTGCACCAACCTCTCACCCGGACACAGGCCATCCTTTCCCTCAAGGATTGCCATAGAGCTTAGCTTCCTTTAGGCCGGCCTCAAACTGGAGCTCAGCCCCATCCTGCAGCCCAGTTTGGACGTCTGCTCACTGTGTTGCTGCCCCCCACTGTCCAGCTCAGCGTCCAGCACCGCGACCCGACCCGCAGCCCCAGCTGAAGTTTGAGGCAGAAACAGTGTCTTTCCCCTCCTGTTTCTGAACAGAGGAGAAAAGCTCCTTTCAGAGCACTGACAGGGCAACTGACTGGCAGGAGAGGTTGAGCTCCTGACTGCAAACTAAGAGCCTCGCTAAAAGACAATTCACTGTTTGTTCCATTGCTGTGCTCCAGCACTCAAAATGTTCCCATGCTCTTACCTCTTTCACAGCAGTCCGGAGCTGCTGCAGTGCGTTTTCTCTTCTCATTGCCTCCTCTTTCAGAGCTTGGCTTGTCCCCTCTTCCTGAGCCACCTGTTCTTCCAGGCTCTGGAACAGACCACAGGAAAGACGCAAGTCTAACTCACTCTATAGCAAACGATCCGAGTTCTAGATCCCTCCGGATCCCTCCACAGTAGCCTCTCACCTTTACTTGCAAGGACAGCTGCTCCATCTTCTTCTGTTGTTTGTCTGCAATCTGGAATCAAAGGTAGAAGCCAGTAAGAATAGGCCACACAGACTCTTCCAGCAATACCAACAGGATTTTTCCTTCAGCAGGACAGTTCCCCCTCTCCTCCTCTCTCCTGTCCACTTACTGCTTTAATTACCGCCTATTTGTTAGCGGAGAACTTAGATGCCCTGATGAAAGGAACCATTAGAAATATCAGCTATAAAAAGGACTGGAGAAGTTACATTCTTGTGGTTTTCCTCCCGCCTTTTCTGCATTCTGCAACTTTGCTCTAGTGAAGTGTTCAGTGATTACTCTAGGACTCCATGGTTACCATATCAAGAACAGCTCTTAAAACACCTCACTCTGCAATGCCAGGAACAACTCTTTCAGTGCAATTGTGACTGCCTGCTAAGGCAAAAGACCGTGATTTCATTTTAGCGCCTGGCCGGTATAACACAGTGGAAGGAAAAAAGTGTGGTCACTCCACACTGTTCCCAGCTGGGAACTGGCCTGTTACCTTCCTGAGGCAGTCACATTCTTTCTTCAGAGAATCATTTTCTTTCTGTTTCTCCCCATCTTGGGCAGAGGGTCCTCTCTCTACATTCTTTACACACTGCTGCATCTTGTCCTGCAAGCTGAAATTAGCAGAACATCATGAGAAAAAAAAAAAAAAAAAACAACCAATCAGCTTTATTTGGGGCATTTCCCCCTCATTAGACAACATGGGAAGGTGAGAGACTTCCATAGCAGAAGATGCCATTGTTGCCCTGTTTGCATCCCACCTTGCAAAGCGCAAGGGCTGCAAAGGAGGGAGTTCCACCCCCTGGTAAAACCCTGCCCGTCATACTGGCTCGCTTGCAGCAGCGCCACGATTGCAGATTACATAGTTCCGTTGTGCAAGGAGTTACAGTTGAAAGCAATAACCACAGACAAACCCAGATGATAAATATGGGCCCCCTTTCTTTCAGCCACCTGGATCTGCTCCCAGCCTTCACTCTTTGCAAGCAGAATTTGAACAGAGTGTTGGTGAGTGCTCGCACAATCATAGCAAATCCAGGGTAACCCAGTTCTGACAGGTGGGACAGCAGCTGTGCTGAATAATCACTGTTCTAGTGCTGTGACTCCTTCAGTGCTAAGATGAAGCTCACTCTAATCCTTCAGGTTTTTACCTGCGTACAGAGGAAAGAAGCTCCAGTTCTTTGCGTTTTTGCGTTTCTAGCTGCATCTCTTGCTCCCTGCAGGCAGCCCGAACGTCTCCAAGCTGTGTTTCCAGTGCCAGCACTGTTTCCTGCAGAGTAGTACTCCTCAGTTCGGATTCCTTCAGCTGCAACAAAGATCATCACACTAAAGATCTCCCAGGTGTTTCACCACACGTTTCAACTACCTTCACAATGCAGTTTTCACTACTGATATGACAATTCTCAGCTATATAGCTCAGAACATTCCTCCTTCCAAAAGGGCACACTGCAACTTTACTTGTGCAGCTGCCCAGGGGATTATTTACAGCTGTAGAAAACCCACCTGAGCAAACATCTAAAGAGATATCATTGCTCATGGGAAAAAGTTTTACCTGCTGACTCTGTTTCTGGTGGTCCTCAAGAGTTGGTAGATCAGCCAGGTATCGCTCAAGGGTCTCAATTCTTTGTTGTCTCTCCCTGTTTTGCTCAGATTCCTTCTGGCATTTCTTTTTCAGATTATTAATGTGTTTATCTCTTCCCTTTACCTGCAAAGGCAGTAATACAAAAGTTCAGTTTTTATTATAACTCCTTGTCCATTCTTCAGTCCTCTGTATGCCCATTCATTTACCTGTCTGTATAGCACTCATCACCAAAATACAACATCATTTTACCGCAGCAGCATTTCTACTCACTTAGCCTAACACAGGCTTCTTCTTTGGTTAAGAGAAGAGGCATTAAAATACTTTTAACTGCAGGAGGGAGGTTTTTTGCTTATAAACCAAAGTACTCTACAAGGAGATTAGAAAATATCTGCAATAACATCTTGCCACAGACACTTTAATTCGCCTATTACTATGTCAACTTCTGTATTCTTGTGTATGTTGGGGCAGAGGAGGAAGGAGGAGGAAAACATCTCCACATCTCTAAAGCAATGGGATCATACCCTTTCTTCCTGTTTCTTTAACTCCTCTGCATGTTTCTGCATAGTTTCCTTCAGTGTCTCCCGGATCAGCTTTGCATCCACCTCTGCAGCAGCCAGTTTTCTCTCCAGGTCAATCTTTTCTTTACTGAGGGATTCCGTCTTCTCTGTGAACTGCGCTCGGAGAAACGTGTTCTCCCGTTGCAGCTCCTGGAGACAGAGACAGCCTGTGAATTCTGTCCATCAAAGCTAACAGTTACAAACTGACCCTAAGCAGCCGACTTGTCTCAGAGCCGTATTCTCAGCCATCGTAACTCCCAAATATCATTCTGCTTATCTTACACGCTCTGGTATCTGGAACAGCACTTGTCAGGGCTGTCAGACATTTGCACCGCTAGCACGGCTTCTAAACAAACCTGAGTAGTTCAGGACTTGAAATCTTGAGAGTTACCAAAAACCTCAGAGATGACAGATAATTCAGACCACGAACAAAGGATAATCTTATTCTGTATGGCCCTCCTAGTCAGGAAATACCTCATGATACACGTTAGGGCCAGTGGGTTCAATACATATTTCCCACTGATATCCCATTGCAGCCGATTACCTGCATTCTCAACACATAAACATCTCCATAGGGTGCTGGACAGCCAAGCAGGGCGCTGTGAACCTGCAGTTCACTTTCCCGAACTTTCTGCTCCAACTGGGAAATGTGCTGTCTTTGCCTATAAAAAACAGATAATAGACCATTCTCAAATGTACATCTTGCTTTTAATGCTAGTAGGGAGCAGTAAAATATAAACAGCGCCACCACACCTTTTCAATTAGTACTACACATGAGGAATGGCACCAAGCACAACAGAAAGACAACCACTAACTCAGAACTGGCCTGCAGAGAAATAATCCAGATGTCCTTTTATAGCTCCGTATAAACATTTCTTCCGTGCTGTCCTTCAAAAAAAAAAAAAAAGGCTTCTCCCCCACCAGTGATTATGCTCAAAACATAGGCCTTGCGTGCTTTGAGTATTCTAGCTTGACTGCAGAGCAGATGGGTAAACTGCACAGACATCAGAAGACTCGAAATGAGCAAGCAGAGCAGGAACGTACAGTTCAAATGCTGAAGGTAGTTTTCCATTATCACCTTTTCAAAAAGCTTATGGACCACTAGCATTAGGCACGAGAAGTGTTGTTTGCCAGCCCAAACTCAGGAAGAAGTTTAAAATAAAGATCGCTAAGAGATCCCCAGAAGTTCTCAAGCAAACCGGCAGCAGTTTCAATATTCCAGATATTTGTGACGTGAACAGAAGTCTTTATCCATCATAAAACAGGGAAAACCATAACCAAAATTAATTGGAATCTTTTAGGATCACCATCCCAATTCTGAGGGGATGGGAAGAAAGCTTGTAGAAAAAAAAAAGGACCGTACTCAAAGGTATCTAGCTGCTTGAATATGGCGCAAAAAAAAAAAAAAAAAAAAAAGCCTTCAAATGGGTAAAAGGGACTCTGAAACAAGAGCTTTCCTCAGTATTTTCATAACCCTTCCTCTTCCAAAAAAAAAAAATACCCTGGAGTCCTTAACCCACTCTCCATTATCAACCTCTCACCTGTCAATTATGAGCTCCTTCTCCTTGAGCAGGTTTTCATTGGAGTTCAGGATATTGATCCACTGGGTTGGATCAGCTGAAGGCAATGAAGGAGAATACATCGAGGGATGGTGGCAAGCGGCTCCATTTTGTAACTGAAAGAAGAGACAAAATAAGGAGGGAGAGGTTTATGCTTCTCAGAGGTAATTGCAACATTGCTAAAGCTATTTTGCACACTGTGTGCTCATCTGCATGCCAGGACATAGTTATTTCAGTCTGTGTTGATGTCCAAGAACAAGTAACTTCGCCTAAGCACAACTGGAGACTAACAAATAATTTTAGATCACCGTGCTGTCTCACTGGAAACAATTTGTCACCATTAGCACACAGCTGGTGGGAGATGATAAACAAATTGCAGATAATTTTATGCATTTTTTCAGGAAGTCTTTTTCCTATCTCTACATACAGAATAAAATTATCCTATGAAGTAAACTGTTAACTTCTTCCATATGGTTCCTTCGCAGTTTCTGGTGGACAAGGTATTTCAGCTCTTGATCATTAAGAGACTTGCAACGTAACACAGGGAGAAGCACGAGACGTTTTCCCCCTTGCTTCATAAGGTCCACAACAATGACTCATGACTGAAAAGAGAGGAAAGGTTTCAAACTGACATATTTACACAAGTAGCTCCCCACCTGCATTTGCTCTATTTGCAATCGCACATTCTCCAACTGTTGTTTCCAAGCACTGAGTTCACAGGCCCTCTCATGTGGGTGCAGTGTGCAAGTTTCTTGCATCCATGCTCGAGATGGAGAAGTTACAGGTTTTGAAAAGGCAGTGTTGGCCTGGAGTCCCGCCGGCATCAGCCTGCTCCCATTTGGCCACGTTCCGTTCCGGGGCTCACAGATTCCATTAGCCCCTGCTGTTTGCTTACTCTCTGGCAGCACTTTATAATGGTCCTTTCCTGCCTCAGGTGCCCCAGAGTTCGGATTGAACTTCTGGAACCTGTGCAGAGGGTCAGTGCACAAACTATCCAGAAAGAGAGACTGATTAAAGGTACGCTCAATGGCAGGCATGTCAAACTTCCAAGCCTCTTCTGTTCTCATGTGATCAGAAGCAGTGTGCCAGGACTGCTCAAAACCATTTTCCCCACAGAGACGCAAGAGATCTCCGGGTGGCACCTGAGATGACTTCCCAGCATTAAAGTCTCCGTTTCTCATGAGTCCCGAGTGTTCAGAAGCAGATCCTGGCACAGCAGTTTTTGAAGTATTCTGTTCTCCTGCTGCGCAGAGCTTGGAGGGTGAGGCACCCAACGTAGAAGGCATAACATGGGCTGTTGGGATGGTCACTTGGGTTTTGATGGGCTGGAATGAGGAACCGTTACTAGAGTTGCAAAAATCTAGGGAGAGAAGAAGTGCAATGCTTTAATTATGATCCTGAAAATATTCTGACCTAAATCACCGCTTCTCTGCTGAACAGCTCTCCTAAGGAGTGTTAAAAAGCAATTCTTTTCCCAAACATCTCCTAAGCAGCTATAGCTGACATACAGCAGCAGGACTGAGGCATATCTGTGTTCTCCTTCGCTACAAAGTTCGGGAGCCTGTTGACATTTTCCTACCAGAGTAAACCACATGGAGAATCCAAGTTCCAGCTCAGTACACATTTTTAACCCTTCGCTTTTAAACTACTCTTCTATAATATAATCTTCAATTAATAAGGTTATCTTTCTGCTTGTTTAAAAATCACAGCCTTTAAATTGAATAAAAAGACTGAGACTTACTTAACTGAACACTGAGTCCTTGATTCTGTTCTGCCTGTCCCACAGCTCAGCGACTCCGAACTGTAACCAAAGCTAACTGGAGTCTTTACTAAGCCCATGATGAGCTTCAAACATAGCTGAACACATCACCAAGCAGTTGACCTTCGAACTCCTCCAGGACACTGCAGCAAAAGAGCTTTTTCTAGAGGCTGGAGTAATGGCTCTTGCCTCACTGCCACAGGAAACAAGATAGAGCACAGCACATACACAACGTGAGTCTGTCCTGTCAGGCACACACCAAACCTGGCTACATGGAAATACAGAGTTATTCTTAGTAAGTCTCAGATTTCAATACAGCAACAGCAAGAGCTGAGAAAGGCAAACACCCAAATGCCTGTTCCCGCTCCTCCTCCTGATACATTGTACAACACATTAAATTCAGGTTTCTCCCAGATACCCAAACTTGTTTTCCTCATGCCTTTGGCTAAAGGCCCATCCCCACATGATGTTTCTCTAATCCAACAACAGGACAGCAAGATTACGTTTCCATGTATTTGTAACCTCAAAGCATTGCTACAAGGAGGAATAAAAGGTTACAATTTGAAAATAGCAACAAGATTCTGCAAAGACCATCATCAAACTGCTGGAAAACTATTAGAATAAAGGCACAGACCCCATCTTCAAAAATTAACAGGAGAGGGAGAAAGTCTTCTCGGATATTGCTTGGATCTGCCTAAGAACTCCTTCACACAGTGAACACCCTGCCACTAAGCAGTCACAAGAACATTCACCTTGGCAAACACAGGAGAAAAAGTACAGTTTTGTTTTCAGCCCCTAAACATATAGTCCAGTATCACTATGAGGAACTTGAGTTCTCTGACCAGCAAGCCACGTGTGGATGCTGGTATCAGTTCCTTGAATGGAGTTACTTATAAATGTCATTGCAGTGACCCTAATGTACTGACTTAAAAAGTCAGTACGGTTCAGCCAACTGTCAGGGCTGCAATTCAGCCTAAGCTCTTAGGAACAAAGCTACAACACACAAACATTCAGACGGGCAATTTCTCAAAGAACAGTCACCACCTCGCTGCTCTCAACACGCAAGTAGATGTTTTATTTTCCTAAGAGAGGCTAGATGTGACACTTAAACATGCACTCTTATAACGTTTCCACAAGCCAGACGTTTTTGAAAGCCTTCATTTCAACTCTCACGTTATTAAGAACATAGCTCATTGAAAATGCACAGGACAGAATGGGAAACGCATTAAGATGTGAAGCGTATTGCATGAAAGGAAACACAACCTCAAACTTCCTCGCTGCTGAAAGGAGGATCGGTTTGTTCTATGCCACCTTCACAAACGAAGATGAAAATACAGGTAGAAAGGAACGCTGGGACAAGCAATTGCACATAACGTGCCTTAACTGAGTGCAATGCTCAAGCCTTACACTGAAAAGTACACAGCTTTAACACAGGTAAGGCATGTGCAAAGGCACACTGATTTCAATTCTCTGGAGGCACCTATAAATTATTAAAATTAAAAAAAAGCACCCAACAGACGTGCTGATAAATCACTCGTACATCAATATCTAACAGCAAATCACTAAGATGGCTCTCTTAGTCAGTTAAAAAGACCTAGTACAGCTAAAAGATATTTTAAACGAACCGTAGCTTAGAGAAACGGCAAGTCCCTTAGCTGCTTGTTTATATTTTAGGCAGCACATCTATAGAGGCAATGATTTTGAAACAGTCTCAAAACATTATTACAGATTCTACTGTCCAAATTTTACATTCTGGGGTTCAATATCATGGGGCTAGTTAACAGTTTGTTGGTGTTTCAAAGAAAACTTAAATGAAATCCTTCAATGTTACTGCGTGATCACATGTTCATAATCACCTTCTGCGCTGTCTGAGCAGGAGGTCCCAATGCCCGCGTCCCCGCTGTCAGCCACACTGGAACAGCGACTGACGCGACTCTGGAACTTCGCAGATAACATAGGTGTTTTCCAGTCAGTCTCCAAGAAATGACTCTTCTGACTGGTACTGGAGTCTAGAGAGAAAAAAACAGTGATATTTGTGTGTTAGCCACCAGACTGAAAAGCCTTTTAATGTACCTAATGAAGCCATAAATAATTATCCTTGCTACCTAGAAACAAACTGATCCTTGCTAGACTCTCCATACTGTCGCTCAGAAGTCTTTCCTTTTGCAAAAGGAAATGGTAGCAAGCATAAGAAAGCCAAATAATATCTGCAGGAGATTGAAAAAAATCAGTCTTCTTATGGAAGTCAGGATACAAGAGCAGTAAACTGTACTCCTACTGACAAGTCGGATGATATTGCACTAAACTGATGCTCTGGTACTTAAACAAAAAAAGAGCACCAGTGCTGGCACACAGCAATACCGATAATGGCAGAGATATGTTTTCACATTCACCATTAAAAACTCCTCCCAATTCATCAGCTATCATTCAAGAGAGGTCCACCAACAACTGATGCTCTGCCCCTAGATGCTCATGCAATTATTTTATTTTGCAGGAACAAGACTTTTTTTTTTCCTCCTTTCTCTTTCCACAGAATAAAAAGCTTTTGGTAAAGAATACTCTGGGGGTCGCATGTCTCCTCAGGAAAACTCTTAACAGGATCTCACAGCAGCATGGCTTTAAAGAAAAGACTGTCCTTACCCGATGGATTGATCTGCTGGAGCCTCAGGTCTGGATGTTTCTCAAGAGCAGCCATCTTACCTATTCCTGTCAACTACAGGACAGTAAATAAAAATCATATTTTAAGTCAGCATAAACCGAACCCCGTTGCCATTAACCAAGAAAAGAGTAGACATGCATCAGCTAGGCTGCATTCAAGGGACTCATCTCAATACAGTATTTTGTATTTAATTAGCGTCTTCTTCTGAAGCTACCTCTGTTTCATCCCTGCAAGATGAGTACATAATACTTAGGTATTTAAGTCAACACTTAAAAAAGGTGCAGTTGTTGTAGGTTTTCTTCATGCCTGAGAAATGAGAAGAGATCCTGTTTGTAACATTCTTCAGGTATGCAGCTGTTCAGCAGAGCCTTTCAACTGGGGCATGCGTTATACCCATTGTAGTTATTTATAGAGCATCAGTCACCATGGTATCTACAAACTGCCTCTATGTCTATGGAGGCTAAAAATTTAAAAGTCTTAACATTAAGAGAGTTCATTTCTGCCCTCTGTAGAGGTCACCGGGCAACTACATCCAGAAATGCAGTAATTCAAAACAGCGTTGCTGTACCATAAATGGCAATCATTATCTATCCAGGGCTTTGGTTTACTTTATCTGCTTATCAGAGTACCTCAGACAGTGAATTTCCTGCCTCTGATGTGAACATAGTTTACAGCTGTCAGTCTTTGCTGTGAAAATTCAAGGCCTCTCTCCTTTCCACCAGTCAAACACTAAATCCTCATTTGCCGGCTCTTTGGAAACCGTTCATACTTAGAAAACACACATATGCACATTTTGCAACAGCCACAGGATTAGAAAATGGAACTACAATAGGATAGACAGAAAACGAACCAGAAGTGGCATTTTACTCATATAGCAAGGCAATGAGACATAGCTTTTAACTAAACATAGTACTTATTATGTTTTCATTTAGGTATGTTTCTGCAATTACTGAGATTTGAATGTCAGTCTCCAGCACTACAGTCAAACGGTTTTAACAGGGAAATTCAAACGCACACTGCCAAAACAGAAGAGCTAACCACCAAAGCATTCACTTCTCACACAGCACCACCCTCTCACAAAAACCCACTGTCCCCTTTCGACAGCATTCACAGCAGTGGGCATAGGGCAAATCCTGCAGACAGAGTGGGAAGGGATACGTTCATGTACAAAATGAGAGAAACGAAGGAGGAAAAGGAAGGGGAAGAGACAGACCACGAGAAGAAGGGGAGCAGTGGCACACGGATGGAGAGCAAGTGTGGAGCGATGTGACCGCACGAGGCTGGGGTGGAGGTAGGGGCAGTGACTCATCCCCGGCAGAGGTTATTTGCGCCTAGGAAAGGGACGGTTTAGCCCCAGGGGCTGAGAAGAACAATGGTTTGGACTGGGGGCGGGGGGAAGGAAGAGGGGACGGTAGTTTAACCTGAAGGAGGAGTAGTCTGACCCCGGGGAGGGGGACAGTAACTAGTTCCTGAGGAGGAGAAAAGGGATCCCACTGGGTGGGGAGGCAGCGATCGGCCCCTGAAGGGCAGAGGAGACCCCAAGGGCTGAGAGGAGGGAGAGAGAGACTTGCCCGAGGGGGGGGGGATCTTTCCTCACGTATTTCCCCACCTGTTTCCCCACACTTTTCCTCACACATTTTCCCACCTTTCCCCACATCTTTCCTCACGTATTTCCCCACCTGTTTCCCCACACTTTTCCTCACACATTTTCCCACCTTTCCCCACATCTTTCCTCACGTATTTCCCCACCTGTTTCCCCACACTTTTCCTCACACATTTTCCCACCTTTCCCCACATCTTTCCTCACGTATTTCCCCACCTGTTTCCCCACACTTTTCCTCACACATTTTCCCACCTTTCCCCACATCTTTCCTCACGTATTTCCCCACCTGTTTCCCCACACTTTTCCTCACACATTTTCCCACCTTTCCCCACATCTTTCCTCACGTATTTCCCCACCTGTTTCCCCACACTTTTCCTCACACATTTTCCCACCTTTCCCCACATCTTTCCTCACGTATTTCCCCACCTGTTTCCCCACACTTTTCCTCACACATTTTCCCACCTTTCCCCACATCTTTCCTCACGTATTTCCCCACCTGTTTCCCCACACTTTTCCTCACACATTTTCCCACCTTTCCCCACATCTTTCCTCACGTATTTCCCCACCTGTTTCCCCACACTTTTCCTCACACATTTTCCCACCTTTCCCCACATCTTTCCTCACGTATTTCCCCACCTGTTTCCCCACACTTTTCCTCACACATTTTCCCACCTTTCCCCACATCTTTCCTCACACATTTCCCCACCTGTTTCCCCACACTTTTCCTCACACATTTTCCCACCTTTCCCCACATCTTTCCTCACACATTTCCCCACCTGTTTCCCCACACTTTTCCTCACACATTTTCCCACCTTTCCCCACATCTTTCCTCACACATTTCCCCACCTGTTTCCCCACACTTTTCCTCACACATTTTCCCACCTCTCCCCACACCTTTCCTCACACGTTTTCTCATGTTTCCCCACACCTTTCCCCACACGGTGCCCCACACGCTTCCCCTGCCCCAGCCTGCCGGCCCCGGACAGCCACCCTCCCTCACGCCGGCTGAGGCCGGCCGCCAGGGCCGCCCCTCCT